ACAGTATGTTTGTATTGATACCCACAAATCATCTGTTAAGCGCATAATAGCTGGAGTCCCACAGGGGAGTATATTAGGACCTTTGTTGTTTAATTTATATATTAATGATATTTTAAGCTTATGTCAACAAGCTAAGTGCATTTTGTATGCCGATGATTGATTGATTGATTTGTGGGGTTTAACGTCCCAAAACCACCATATGATTATGAGAGACGCCGTAGTGGAGGGCTCCGGAAATTTCGACCACCTGGTGTTCTTTAACGTGCGCCCAAATCTGAGCACACGGGCCTACAACATTTCCGCCTCCATCAGAAATGCAGCCGCCGCAGCCGGGAATCGAACCCGCGACCTGCGGGTCAGCAGCCGAGTACCTTAGCCACTAGTGTATGCCGATGATATGACCATACTTTTTTCGTTGAACTCGTCTGACCAGATCGGAAGGGAAACTAACGCTGTCGTGCAGTCTATTCAATGCTGGTCAATTACTAATCGATTAAAAATAAACGCAAACAAGTCTAAAGCTATACTGTTTCGACCCCGAAATAAACAAATCATTGTTCCGCAGTATGTTAAATTTGGTTCTGACTCAATATAAATCGTGGAATGCCTGAAGGTATTAGGAGTGCACTTCAGTAGTCACCTTACTTGGGATGACCGCGTTAATTCTGTAATGATAAAATTGTCTCGCATTGCAGGAATTCTTAGCAAACACCGCCACTTAATTCCACTTAAAGTTAAGTTACTGCTTTATAAATCTTTGTTTGAATCTTACCTAAATTACGCTCACCTAGTTTGGGGAACTACTACGCTAGCTAATAAAAATAGACTCAATTTACTGCAAAAAAAAAAAATCCTTGCGTTCAACTTGGAATTTGCGCTTCTCGGCCCACACTAGTCATTTATTTCAGAAATACTGCATTACCAAAATTTTCGATCTTTATAATGTAAGATTAGCTCTTAGCTTCAAGAAAGTACTAGCGAAAAATTGCAAAAATTTATCTGAGCTGGCCTGCCTTTGCCCGAATGCGCCTGTATACACTTGCAGAAACACTGAACGATGGCACGTGCCTACCTTTCGTACATCATACGGTCTGCAAACATTATCTAATACTTTGCCGCGCTTACTGAACAAACTGGAAGCAAGAAACATAGATATGACGCGTACTTCCAAAAAGGAAGTGCGTAGATTGATAGGGTCATCCTGGTAAGTTTTTTTTTTGTTTTGTTTTACGTCGTTCATTTTGTTATCACCAAGCGTTTATCGATTCTGCCTTGCGGACCTTCGTTACAGACCTTCTTTTTACTCCTTCTCTTTGCTACTCAAATTTTTCGCGCCTTCAACAACAAACATTACTTTTTTTCCTGTGTGTACCGTTTTAATGCATTATGCATCCAATTTTTCGGGCCTTCAATTACTAGCCGTTGGTTTTCCTATGTGTAACGTTTTAGTGCATATGCATCTCAGTGTGGGTGATACCCTGATTGGTGTAACCAATTTTTTTTTTTTTTGAAGCGATTATTCCTGTTCTGTTGTGTGCAGTAGTTCATATGTATACTTTTTATTATCAGTCTTTCTTTTACCGGTGCATCTTTTTTTTTGTAAATTGACACTATTTGCACTTTTGTATGTTTCAGTATTGCCTCGTCGTTTCTCTTTTTTTTTTGTAGCGTTCCCATGTTTTTCGAATACATTATCGTTTCTTTGTTTAGTTGTTAGCGTGCCAATATTTTTACTTGCATATTTTTGTTATCGCAATAGAATTGCGATACTTCGGTGTGTTGTGTTTATTACTGTAAATTTCTACAGCATGCATATCTGTCGTCTGCTGCTGACGTTTGAACTGGGCTGACGGGCCTGTCAAGCTGCTTGTATGCAGCTTTTGTCGTCAGCCTTTCAATGTATTCACGATAAATAAATAAAGAATACCTCACCTCAAAAAAAAAAAGTTGTCGCAGTGGAACACATATGTATGCTTGAAGAAGCAACAGGAAGAAGAACATGAGGTGTCGCAAGTGTGCGTGGTAGATCTGCAGTGCAGTGCAGCTGTACCTGCTGCTTAGCCCGGATAACCAGTTATACGTGCATGGGATTCGCTGACACTACCCCGTTTGAGCGCATGGGCGCAACTCTTGGCCCAGGTTACCGTAACTACGCCTGCGACTAAGGACAGAGAAGCGGTGTCTGTCAGTACCACCAGAAAAAAGCTTACAGGTGGGGAAAGTAAATCAGTGAGTGAAAGTCACGACAGGAAAAAAAAACTTGTGAAAAGAAGACCGCCATATACATGCTAAAAGACAGGACGTGCAAACACGGACACGAGAAAAAGAGTCAATACACGACAAACACCTGTCTTGCGTCCTTGTCTCTACCTCTCTCTTGTGTCCGAGTTCGCACGCCCTTTCTAATGCAAGAATACCTACCAACAAGCCCACTTCTCTGTTATTTTAAGGTGCCTGCACCGGCAGATGGTGCCTCCGCAGGCCGATGGACCAATCGGAGCTAGGTGATGGACAGCGTGGCAGTTTCGACGCTCGTCGAGAAGCTTGAAGGTGCTTCTTCGACTGCTGCCGTGCCGGAGGAAGCAGTAATGGTGGCAGTGAGCGAGTCGGCCACGGCCGCGCATAAGACGAGGTCTCCATTGCCGACTATGACAGCTTGATTGGAGAGGCGGCCATTTTCGAGGCCGAGGGAGGGGGTGTTTCGTACGCCAGTAAGGCAAGGACCTTGCGATCATCTCGTGGGAATCGACGTTAGCTGGATGACGGACTCTCAAAGAAGAACAAAAAAAGAAAGAGTAGTGAGAAGAGGCGCGCATCCGAAGTCTTAAGCAACCACGGCTTGGCCACCCAAAGCCGAAACGAATCTTGACAATACGTTTCTTGTTGCAATATCGGCGTACATGCTCGCTTTTGTTCGAAGCGACCTGTTCTGTCGATACCGGCGTGCCGAGTGGGCGAACCACTTTCTCTGTTTTCTGTTTGTTTTTATGTATGCTTTGTCTGTCTTCTGCGAGGTGATCTTTAGTGATTTTAGTGGCAAAAGTTTCCTATCGATGCAACACTTTTTTGCCGACAGTGAGAGTCTTCCACTGACTGTAAGTGTAAACAGTTTCTTTCTTTTTTTTTTGGGGGGGGGGGGGGGATTTATACGACGATCGTTCATACGACTGTTCATAAGACGATTATTCTTAAGACTACAATCACCCTCAAAATAATCAGTCCTAAAGTTTCTTTTACACCTCTGTGGACGGATCCTTTCTTATCTTATTTATATTCCATTTTTGTCTATCTATCTATCTATCTATCTATCTATCTATCTATCTATCTATCTATCTATCTATCTATCTATCTATCTATCTATCTATCTATCTATCTATCTATCTATCTATCTATCTATCTATCTATCTAGCCACCTATGATTTCTTGCTCTCCTGACTGTCTCAATAATGGTATCGATACCAAAATTGGTATGGCATAACATGACTGTATGACGGACATAACTGACAAGCCATAACGCGAAAATCATGACAGGTATGTCAATAATGTCATCATGCACATTTCATGGTCTGACTACTCTAGCGGTGGTTTCGTTCACATGATCTTTAGAAAAAGTGGTATGGTATGATATGACTGCATGGGGAACATAACTGACAGACCCAAACGTGGAAATCTTAGGATGCATGTCATGATTTTCATGTTATGACTTGTCTTGACTACACGCAACACTCATGCAGAGCTCGCGGTCGTTTCGCTAGCTTCACATTTACCGAATTTTGTATTACGGCACGTGAATGGATGACGAATGTACATGACTGGTGCAAAAAATAATTAGATCAATGGTGGTTTGGATATGAATATTATTACATATCTCACGAAAATATGCAAGATTTCATTGTCCTAATAAAGCCATTCACTACTCCTTCACTCTCTCTTTCTTTTCTTTCTCTTCATTATTATTATTATTATTATTATTATTATTATTATTATTATTATTATTATTATTATTATTATTATTATTATTATTATTATTATTATTATTATCAGATGGAATGCAGCCTCGTTATAAACGGCAGTGTGCACACCATGGAGCATTTGCTCGCCTGTTCTGTCCCACTCGGTATCCGTCTATGAGCAAAAAAAAAATGTGATCACTTAAAGTCTCACGTCATTATCGATGTGTCAATGGTGTAAAGGACACACTAACACACGTACCCGGGTTGTGCATAATATACTGTTGCACACGTAAGTGCAGTTATTTGATGCGAAATCGTTTATTCGCCTGTTCGGTCGAAAACCTCTTACACCTGATCATACGGTAAACGTGATCACTGATGCCTTTCGACGAAATGATTCGCGCTAAAAGTCGGACTCCGTTACATGAGTTTTCGAGGCGGGTAATACGAGTCGTGAAGATGTGGCGTCAATCATGAGGCCACATCTGCGAGATCGGTAACGTCATCACGACATACGATGACGTAATCACATGATATCGTCACGTCGTCAAACGTGGATGGGCACCGAAAGCAGTGGAACGCTTCTCGGGGCGCTGCACTGTTTGCAATGGATTTGAAAGGAAAACAAATGGGGGAAAGTTTTTCGCCTTCGCTTAGTTTCAGGCGATTGGATTAAGGACCCTGCGAGCTTTTCTATCTAGAGTCAAAATATTGACGACAAATAGAGCAATGTAACGCATATCTGACATTCAAAAGAGCGATCGTATCGTCGTTGCACGTCGCAAAAACTCCAGCGCACCTCCACTTTCGCTTTTGGAAAAGGCTGCCCGCAGCGCGCCTCCGCCAACCACCCGCGCGTTTTTACCCGCGCGAAAACCGAAACTCGAACGAACGCGCAACACAAAAAAGCGCGCGCGAGCGCGATACCATGACGTAAGCAAACGTCACGCTTTCGTCACGACCAACTTTCGACCAATGGAGAGAGCGGGCGGCGCTGTCGCTTTCGGTTTCGGCGGACGCGCGCGCAATCGGCCGCCGCCGCTCGAGCGTCAGTCGCGCCTCGCAAGTCGGCCGCCACAGGTGGTGTCGTAGTAGGTGGTGCGGGACAGAGAGCCGCCGTCGAACTGGTTTCTTCGCATCGTCCACAGCGTGGCGAGACGTGCGAGCAACCGAGATTCCCGACTACGATAAACGAAGTTTCCGAGGCGAAAAAAAGAAGCGTGTGTGTTTTCCCCCCGTGCCTCCGACCGAGAAGACGACAACCCCAAGAGTCGCCCGCAGAGTTTCGAGAAGAAAGCTAGGCTCCCGCTATCGAAGATCGATTTGGGGAGGATACTCTCCACACGACACCCGAGGGTGCGCCGTGTACCTCGAGGAAAGTGCAGAAAGCTAATGAGCCATGCTTCGACGCCGGCGATTCCCAGACAGCGCAATCCCAGTTTCACCCAGATAGGCAGCACCGGTGCCGCTGAAAAAAAAAAAGACGTCGTCCCGTCTCCCAAAACGGTGTATACATCCTATTTCTCAGCGGCCGCACTTTCGTTTCCTCGTGTGTATGATACAGAAGAAACACGTCGGTTCGACTTGTCGTTCCGCTACGCCTGTGTGTTTTCCGTGTGCCTTGTTTGAGCTTACTGCGGTGTAATTACCGTTGTGTTGCCACTTTCGGTTCGTACCGGAACCTGTGCTTGTTTCTACATCTTCGTGTGGTCGCCTACTCCAGTGTGGCCCGCCGTTAGTTCGCGCTTGTGAGGCATTGTTTTGATCTACCGGTGGGTTTGTGTTCGCAGCCGTATGTGGCCCAGCTCTGGCTGAATAAGGACTATTTGTGTCCTCGACGAAAAAAGTTTGTGCAACTTGACCACTGAGCAGAAGTCATGGAGCGAGCTACGTCGACTGTCACCTCCGTCCTTCTCGTCGCCCTGTGCTTCGTAATGGTCCGGGTAAGTGAGAAAAACAATTTGATTCTGAAAATAAAATCAACATGAAATGTTTTTTTTTTCATGTTTATTTAACTCTAATTCTCTGACAAGTACTGTAGCCGCAACTGCCCTAGTTTATGATAGGTCGTTTGTTGTAGTTCTTTTTCGCACCAACGAGCGAGACGTCAAATAACGGGATCTTCAGAGTTATTCGCCTGACGCCTCAAGCGAAAACCCATATTAATTTATATTTTTGAAGTGTTGAATATCAGGAGATAAATATTTCCGAGAGTGTATTTTTTTTTTCATAAACGCCACGATGTATATATTTCCGTGCTTTCTTTTTTTTTTCTGCGTTCATCAAATATAGTCACTATTCAGTCGTTACGATGTACCATTTAACTTACTGTTAAGAGCCGTTCAAAGCGCGACACGCCATTTGTGTTTGATTTACTTTTCCTGATCTCCAAGAATGCGTCGTGTTAGGGAATGTTAAGTAAATTTGAGATGTCCCGGTGGCGTAGCATTCTACATTTTGTGGCTGTCTACAACAAAGTTCCCTTTTTTCTGGCACGGCGAACCTTTCCTGCTCACATCAATCGCAGTGAAACTCTCTCTACACGTGCATGAAACGAGTACGCAGTTGCAGTAGCGATACGTGTTGAAGGTGTCTGGTTGACGCTTACTTGAATTTTGTAGCGCTACTTTTGCCAAGGGCAGGACCGAGAATGACAGATCGTTACCACCAATCTATCAATTAGTCATGAATGCGTCACGAACTAGCCCCGCTACGCGTTTTGTTAAGTGTATGGCTGACATCTGCGTTTATTTTGTCTTCCGTCACTTTCCTCTCACTGCATTTCGCACCCTGAGCGGGAATAACGCAGTCCAGAGTTCGCCGCAGTACAATCTGGTCTAGTTAAGCTCATCAAAAGACAAGAAACAGGCTTAATACGGCACCTATGGTGTCCAAATATTATTTGCTTATCCAGGCGAAATTCCGCCCAGTCATATACTTCGGTACCTTTTGTGATTGCAATGCGGCGCGAATACCGTCTTGCATGAAAGAAGAAAACGTCTGCTTTACGAAACAGTGTAAGACCGCCGTGCAAACACAAGTCTGTGTCAACTGACGAAAACTTTATTACTATTCGCGAAACCATGCCGATACGTTTCATTACTCCTGCACCACTTGCGTTTTGCGTAGTTTTTATATCCACACAACTAAGAAAGCTGTATCGCATTTTCTCAAAATAACATTTCCTTGCAGTTAAAACTTCCTTTAAAAAGACAACTACCCGTTCTCAGCGCCAATCTACAAAGAAAGCCACACGAATTTTCCAGAAAAAAAGCATCTTAGTTTCCGAAAAATTCGTCCCAGTCAGGGGATGAAACTTGAGACCAACACCTTTTCGGGGTGGTGCCGGTTTAGCTAATGAAAATTATTTAATAATTGGTTTGCTAACGCTAAATTTTCTGTCCCTGTATATACTTTTTTTGGATTGACAGTATCAGTAAATAAATCAAAATAATAGAGAAATGGGTCACAAACAAACATCGTTTCACCTCGTGGCTGTAAAAAAAAACGTCACTTTAAGAGACAGAGGGGTACAAACGGAATCGAAGTACATGTTTCGCACGAACGCAGGACCACACCCACGGAAAAAAAAAAAAAAAACCAGAATGAAAGTCGACTGAAACATTCACGCGCTACGTGCCCAAGATAATCGGCTTACCGGCTGGAGACACCACAAGGCAGATAAACGACGGTGATACTCCCACAGAGATTAACATAATCCTGGTGTAGCAGAGAAAAAAAAGTCTCGAGTCTGAGGACCTGTCTTTGTGGAGGAAAGAGTGTTCTCACGCTTGAAAGTTGCGCAGACGGAGTAGAAAGGCAAAGCAAGCCTCTTTGGTTTTAATTGGATCTTTTTTTTTAACTCCTCAGGAGCAGAAGACATACGGGCGACAAGGTGTACAAACTTACTCACAGGTCGATCACTCAAACTCGGATCGAGCCGTGTCTGAGGGTGAGTGATAGACTGACGAGTTTGAGTAAGAGTGAGTCCGGTTGTGAAGTTCAGTGAGTCTAATTCCGAATGACTCCACAAGAGGAAATATTGGCGAGTTTGAATACGAGTGAGTGCTATGGGGTGGAGCACATTTGGCAAGCACTCTCAAAAATGTGTAAGAAGCTTCTTCTTTAGAATTCTATCAACTGGAGGCCAAGAAAGAGCACGGTAAATTGCATATGAAGACTTAGAACTTAGGCATCAATGTGTTTTCACTTCACCTTACTGTGGTTCACATCACTGCAAACGGTCACTCTGGTGAGGACACGTATGTTCGGCGGATTGTTGGGCGCGGCGTGTTGATGATTAATAGAGTTTATTGGCGCTAGGACCAGATGCGGCCAAAGAGCGTCAGAACGATGATAATGAACTGCGCGTTACGCAGTGTGTATTAAACAAATGTGACGCGGCTGTAAATGGGCCTAAAAACAGTCGCTGTAGGTGCGTTAAATATACACAGAGTAAAATTATGGCAATGACAGGTGATGTGAGCTATGGAGACATCAAATTCCAGGAACCATAATAATAAAAATAATTCTTATTACAACATGTAGGGTCTTGCGTGCTGAAATCACGACGCGATCATGAGCGACGCCATAGTGGAGGACTCCGGACATTTCGGCCGCCCGATGTTCGTTAACGTGCATCGACATGACGCAGTATGCCCGGGCCTCTATCACATCGCCTCGATCGAAATTCGACCGTCGCGGCCCGGATCGAATTGGCGACGTTCGGGTCAGCAGCCCGAGCCCCTTAATCACCGATTCATCATGACGAACGTGCGTTTTGAGACACACGTCGAAAGTGCCATTTTCCTCTCCTCAAAACGGATACAACCTGAAACAAGTCGCGCGTGAGTTTTCAGCGTAAGATTTCATTTTTCTCATGTATGTCTAGAACATGGCTGACCAAGAAATATTTAAACATTTATTTACCTGCTAATTACGTCTAAAACGGGCATTAGCACAAACAATATGGCATTTTTTTTCTTGTAATCTGATATCGAGTGCCTTACAATTCGTGTTGTGCGATGTTGACACATTTGCAGGCAGATCATCTGAATTCGTGTCTGGGCCCTGAAAGGGCCATTAGAGGGTCAACTTACGTGCTAAGCTACTTCACCGGGTTTCAGACCGTCAGTACGCTGAAACAAACAAACAAACAAGTGGACGAAGGTCGTTAAGCGGTCAGCGTTCTTCCAAGCAATGTTCAGTCCGAACTTTCGCGATCAATGCAAACAATGAGATCATCCCGCGGAGGTGGAATGTGACGAAACCGATCCACCTCTCGCGCTCCGCATGACGAAAAGGAAAATGGGTTAATTAAACCAGCGGCAGTCCTCATTAACAAATGACTCGGCACTCGCGAAGAAGAGGAGGAGGAAGCTTCGAAATGCGTCGATCTCCGAGTCACGATAAAGCGCGCGGCGTTACGTGTGCTCTTGCGGGGAGTGAGCAGTCCTCTTTACTTGGCTGTGTGTACAGCACATGCGGCGCCATCCTTGACCTCTGACCCCTCCGAGCGCTTAATTCATAACGCGGGGGGGTTGCAACAAACCAAACGGAAGAGCGAACTTACACGTCGGCGAACCCTCACGTGACCCTAAAAACGCGCCACTTCTCATCACCCCTGTCTCACAAGGCGAGTTCCGGAATCGTGTATATCCTTTGTTTGTTTCGTTTCGTAGTTAATTAACCGGCGGCTGCGTTATGTTATGACCTCGCGTTTGACTGTATTATCCACGATTAACCCGAAGAGTGAAACTCGTGAGCGTGCGCGTATAAGCCGTTTCCCCGACTTCGTCCATTCTGTCTGCCAAAAAAAAGAGCCATATAAAAAAATCGCTTAATCTCTCGGCTAGACAGGTTTGCTTCAGAGCGATACTTTCTTCCTCTTATGCGTGAGCAGGATTCAGCGATGGAAGGGGGAGGGGAGTGAGAGAGTTTCACCGCAATAATCTCTTCCCCCTCATTCTGACACCCTCTCCACTGAGGCCTTTACGACGGTAAAAACGCAGCCAAAAGCGAAGTATTAAGCTGGGGAAAGGGCACGCCCCCTTCAACTGCCCCCCTCCACCCATTCTCTTCCTCGGGTGCACGTCTCTGCTCTTCCCTATGGCAGCCAGATGGCACATCATTTTATATATATTCGTTGCTTATACGAGGACGTTTCACGTCGTTCTCTTTCAGGATAGAAATACAGATTCCTTTTTTTAAATATTTATATTCTTCTTACTTTTCCGAAAGATTCGGAGCTATCTTTAGCGCCGGCCACTTGGAGATCCGAAAGACAGCGGCTTTATGCGCAGTCGACCTCTCGTGGCTTCTCTGAGAAGCTTTCGAGTGCAACTGGATTATGGGGTGGCTAGCACCACGCGGGCACGGTATAATCCGCTTAACGCCTTAAGCTCGGACTTCTGATCCTTGCCACGCGAGGTGGACACTGTCAGCAGCGAAGTTCTTGAGCCTCTAAAAACTGTCAGTTTTCGACACTTCCGCAGACGTTCTTCCCGATCTCGCAGGATTAAGTGACAAAAACTGCGACTCCGACATCAGTACTCGCTCGCCTTATGATCGTTTTGACAGCTAAGACGAGATAAGCGCGTTTTTTTTTTAGTTACATCGTTAATTTTTGTAGAGAAGGCGTTCGTCTTCAGGGACCAGCAGCAACGGCTGTCTCTTCCTCCAAGCCTTTAGAAAAATGAAATCGCTCGCACTAAGCAAGATTATCTCCGCTTCGCGCTTAAGTACTAAGCCTTATAGGAGGACGACATATCGCATAGAAGCCGACTAACCCCACGACATTATTTATATACGACTTCTTCACGCAAACGCTTCAAAAGGCCTCCTGCGTCAAAAGGAACTGCAACATTGCGCTAAAAAAACTCGCCCATTTTCCGAGATGTAGAAAGACCAGCGACTACGGTGTCTAGATGAACTATGGTGTTCT